CAATTTCTATTTAATCGTTGTCAATATTACTAGATCGCTTTCTTTTATTTGTATTATTAAACATTTTTACTCACAGGTTATTGAAAATCGCAGTTATGCTTTTTTCTTCTTCATTACGAGGTCACACTAATGAGAAATGTCGTTATTAACAGCATTTTCTATTGAGATTTGTATATGTATCTATGGATATCAGGTAGTCATGGAGATGTGAAAAAAACACTCTTGTCATAAAATTACGTTGTACCAATTAGGTTAATTCAAGTACATTTTATTTTATATTTACTTATTGCGTCATTTAATAACACATATCACCACGGATATCTTACATTGGTTATGGGCCCAGACAATATAAGTAAATATTTATGTAAGTTATAGAAAATTGGAAGAGTAATTTATTTTTTTTTGCAAGAAGTAACGTTGAGCCTTTTAATAAGTATCTAGTTATTTATGAATTGAGCGACAATGAGCTCAAGTATGGCGGTGCGTATTGAACCGTTGAGCAAAGATAAGTACGATAGCTGGCGAATCCAAGTTCAAGCATTATTATTAAAGAATGACAATCGGAAGTACGTTAGCGGTAGAAAGGCGAAACCTTTAGATGCTGGCGAATTAGAAAAATGTGAGAGTGAGGATGAAAAAGCGAAAGCAGACTTTTTACTATCCATGAGTGGCAGTGAGTTACGGCACGTAAGAGGGTGTACGATGGCTCGAGAAGTTTGGCTAAAGCTTGAATCTGTATATGCTTCGCATGGACCTGCTAAAAAGCTACTTTATTGAAGCGATTGATGCTGCACAGAATGATAGAAACGGGTGATGTACGTGAACATATAAATCAGTTCTTTGATACGATTGCCAAATTAGAAGATATGAATATAAATATTCATGAAGATTTGTTGTCTATCATGCTATTGTACAGTCTATCAGAACGTTTCGAGAATTTTAGGTGTGCAATAGAATCACGGGATGAGTTACCGAAACCAGAAAGTTTGAAGATAAAAATTTTGGAGGAAGATGAATCACGATTGAACAATGACAAATTACAAGAACACGTAATGTATACTAGTCGGAAGAATAATTATGGACGGAAGACGAAATGTAATACAAACGGGACGAACCAAAGTACTAGCGCAGCTCAAAAAGAGAAGTTTAGGTTTAAGTGTGTTAAATGTCATGAATTTGGTCACAAATCTTCGGAATGCTATAAAAAGGGTAACAAACATAATGTTGTTGAAAAAATTGTTATTTCTAATTTTTCAAATTATGAGGTGTGTAATACTGTAAATATGTATAAAGACGAATGGATATTGGACAGTGAATGCACGTCTCACCTCTGCAACAATATTGAAAAGTTTGGGGATACTTTTAGAGGTATAACAGCAAAAATTAATTCAGCAACAAATGTGAGTACGGATGTAAAAGGAAATGGTATCGTAAGATTATCGGCATGTGATGAAAGCTCTAGTGTATCGGTTAGATTAAATAATACTTTTTATGTACCGGACTTAAGGAGCAATTTGATTTCTGTAGCTTAATTGGTCGATTGTGTTAATTTTGTAAACGATCATGCTTATATTATCGATCATAAAAGAAAAATCAAATTGATTGCTTATTGGAAGGGTAATTTGTATTGTTTACGGGAAACTGAAAATGTTATATACATTTTCAGTTTCCCGTAAACGTTTGGGTAATGTCGATTTAGTTAGTTGGCATGAACGGTTAGGACATATGAATGGAAAGGATGACGTAAAACTGTTAAATAAGGTTAGTGCTAATGTAAATAAAAATGAGATACATGAATTATCGAAGTGTGAAGTTTGTGCTAAAGGTAAATCGTCATCGGGTGGTCCATGTAACGAAAAACTAAAAATTATATATTCCGACATAGTAGGTCCTATGAGATGCGAATATGAGGTGCAAAATATTTTATTATATTTATAGATGATTGTTCGAGATGGTGTGAGGTTTATTTCCTAAGTTCGAAGAATAATACTTTAACTGCATTTAAAAGATATAAAAATAAGGTTGAAAATTTTATTGGCAAGAAGATTAAGTATTTTAAATCGGACAATGGCGGTGAGTATTGTAGTAAAGATTTTGGCGAGTTTTGCAGCGTGAAGGGATAATAAGAAGATTGACAGTTCCAAGGACACCTCAACAAACTTTAACGTACTTTGGTGAAAATGGCCAGATGTATGATGTTAGATTGTGAGCTATCAATAGGATTTTGGAAAGATGCTTTAAACACAGCATATTATATACGGAATAGATGTCCTACTAGAACTTTAGATGATGGTATTCCATATGAAAAGTGGTTGAAGAAATCTGTCAATATTGATTATCTTAGGCGATTCGGGTCGAAAGTCTACATACTCAACAAAGAGCCAGGTAAGGATAAGTTTGCTCCGAGAGGCTTAGAAGGCGTATTTGTTGGTTATCCAGATACCTCTAAGGAATACACTATATGGATTTCTGAACTGCAGAAGTATATGGTAGCGAGAGACGTTATGTTTGATGAAGAGAGAAATATGCTGGAAAAGGTTTGAAGCAACCTAGTAGATCTGTGTGTAATGAGGACTCGTTACATTCAGAGAAAAGAGAAAAATATTTCAACGAAATAGAATTTTCAAATATCCTGAACAACGTATTGGAGCTGACTGTATAGAATCTAGAAGTCAATATGTCGTAGAACAAGGGTCTTCTGAGGAAAGCCATTTTATAAATGAAGATAACAATGACGAGACAAGTGAGCGAAAAGAAACTTCAAAGAGAGCTCCTGGTCGGTCAAAGTTATTACGATCTGGTGGAAGAGGATGACCTAAAAAGGTTTATAAAATGACCAAGGCTGAAAATTCCGAGACTAATGAAGATATGATTGATATTTGTAATGAATATTTCTTGGAGTACGAAGATTTTATTAGTTCAGCTCTGATATCATTGAATTATGCGTTAGCTACTGATGAGAGAGTTGAATGGGAGGATGCCATTTTATCAGAGATAAAAAGTTTAATATCTAAAGGCACATGGGACATAGTACAGACACTGAACAATAGAAATGTGGTTGGTTGTCGTTATGTTTTAACTAATAAGGTGAATATAGACAAAACAACGAAAAAGAAGGCAAGGTTAGTAGCGCAGGGATATAGTCAGCGTTACGGGATTGATTACCATAAAACTTTTTCTCCCGTTGTAAGACTGGATACTGTACGTTTGCTAGCGGCACTTTCGGTAGAGTTGAACATGGATATTCATCAGGTTGATGTTAATACGGCGTACTTAAATGGATCTTTAGATGAAGAAATTTTTATGAAGGTACCGGAATATTTAACTGAATGGTTGACTAAGTTGATAAATCGAGAAAAAGAAGATCCTCAGATTGTAGACAGAGTAAAAGAAATGTTACAGAAGCTTAAATCTGGCTGCGATACCTGTTTCTTGAAAAATCAATGTATGGTTTAAAACAAGCCGGACGACAATGGAACATAAGGCTTGATAAGAAATTGAAGGAAATGAATTTCAAACAATGACAGAGTGAACCATGCCTCTATTTTAAGAAAGAAGATGATGATCATTTATTTATACTAGTTTATGTCGATGATATATTGATTGCTTCTGAGAAAGAGGTTTTAATCATGAAACTTAAAAATGAATTGGCAAATGAGTTTGATTTGAAAGATTATGGTCAAACGAAGTACATTTTAGGAATCGATATTCGGCGGGTTGACAATGTCATAAGTTTGTCACAACAAAAATATATACAAGATTTGGTACAGAAATTTAAAATGGAAAAATGTAATGTATGTATGACACCTATGGAAACAAATACGACAAAGTAAATGTTGACAAGAAAAAAGAAAAAGAAGAGATAAAGTGGCCATATAGAGAGTTAATGTACTTGAGTGTCGGTACACGACCCGATATAACAAATTCCGTGGCTAAATTAGCGCAATATGCTGATTATCCCGAAGCATGTAATTGGAAGGCGGCTAAACAGATACTAAGATATTTGAAGAAGACTGCTGAGTACGGTCTCGTATATAAGAAAACAGGAAAATGTATTGAGGGGTTTTCAGAAACAGACTGGGGGAACTGTCCTGTTGATAAGAAATCTTACTCAGGTTATGCATTTCTTTTAGGCGGTGCTTGTATATCATGGTCATCGCGAAAACAACGAAGCGTTGCTACATCCAGCTGTGAGGCGGAATACGTTAGCTTGTCGGAAGCTGTTAAGGAAAGTATTTATTTGAATAAAATGTTAAACGAAATTGGTTTTCCGAGATATGCTAAAGTCGTCTTACATGCCGATAATCAGGGGGCGATATTCATAGCTCAAGATCCAGTCTATCATGCGCGCACAAAGCATATAGATATAAAGTATCACTTTATTAGGGATGTTCTTAAAACAAATAAACAAATTGAGCTGAGACATGTACCCACTGATACCATGGTAGCTGATATTCTAACTAAGGCGTTACCTAAAGCTAAGCATTATAAATGTGTCGACAGCTTAGGTGTCCGGGCATCATAGTGTTTAGTTTATTGATAGAAGTTATAATATTTTTGTTGTTGCCTTAAAATATATGATTGTACTTAAAATATATGGTGACTACCTAATAAGGGGGTGTATTGAGATTTGTATATGTATCTATGGTTATCCGGTAGATGTTGTACCAATTTTAATTAATTCAAATACATTTTATTTTATATTTACTTAATGCTTCATTTAATAACACGGATCACCACGGATATCCTACATTTTCCGTAAGTGTTGCCCTGCCATAATATAGAATAATACTTAGGGGGCACATTTTTTGATACAATTTTTTTATATAATTGTTATTTGTTAATAATTTCATAATTAATGTAATTGTAGTCATATCCAGTCAGTAGTAAAAAGAAGTGTACTCAAAAACTTCTTGAATACGTGGGGAATATCTGTCAGTCTTACACTAATTACATTTCTACTGGATAAGTATCCATTGACGCCGATTCTCGATGCGGAAATGGGCAATGGAGTGTGCTGGTTTGGTGGAGGTAAGAAACAAATATTACATTTTTTTATCTATATATCCGTCTATATATAAATTTAAACGATCATCTTGAGCAGATACAATGGTATTCATATCTTTGATTGCTTATTCTTAAAACTTGATCATAAGACCCTCTGTACGAAATTAAGCAGGCGATCCTTTACCACCACGGGTTCCGAGGGCTAGGTTCTGGAAAGGGGTGCGTCGACGCGGTTGCCAGCGGAGATATCATACACGGTAGTCCATAGGCACTGATCCACCGTTCTTCCGAAATATCCTTATTCTCAAAGGAATTTGAACTCACATTGAAAAACGTCACCCAAGAATTAAATGTGGGGATTTGAAACGTAGACAGCCAATCGCCTTATCAATAGATAATAAAAAAATTACCCATAGTTGTGTTGTCTAAGCTAAGTAAATAAATCACCTGTTTCATTACAGGACACCATCCGTAAGAAACAAGTAAAATATTAGGGGCTTACATTTATTGCTGTAATCAAATTTGTAATCAAACGCTATTATTTTTTTAGTCGTACAAAGCAAGAACGATTGGCCTTTTTACATATTCTTCGTGATACCAGTGACTTTGATAACTGTTGTGAACTTGGTGCTGTTGTTGCTGACTGCAGTGCACTGTGTGCGTGTCAAACCAGTAGCACAGCAACTGCATGCTGGTTCAGAAAAAGATGCTTTTGCACGTCGTTATCGGATGTATAAAGAAAAGTAAGAAATTATAGTACTTTTTAGGGATCCGTAGTAAACAAGGAACCCTTATAGTTTCGCCATGTCCATGTCCGTCTGTCAGTCCTCAGTTTAGCGCAAAAACCATTAGTATTAGAAAGTTTTAATTTGGCATGAGTATACACGTTAATTACGCCGACAAATTAGTAAATTAAAATATTGAAAAAAAAATTTAGCGTACCTCCCCTACATCTAAAGTGGGTATTTTTTTTCGTCTTCCCATAGTGTGGAACATCTTTGGATTGGATTTTCAAAGACAATGAGGGTGTAGGAAGGCCGATTTTCGATTTGGTAGTCCGTTTGTGAATTATTAAGCTTTAAAAAGTTAATTTTCGTTAGAGTCAAGTGTGCCCGACCCTCTACCAACTAAACGATCGTTGGTAAAAATTCAAAAGTTACAGTATCTATAGGTATACTATAACGTAGTTAAAGGAAAACTATCACACTAAAGTTGGCTTCACAAGTTTATGAGGACTTTTTACTGGGTAAGGAACCCTTCGTGCGTGAGAAATGTATTCTCGGGAACCATGTCATCGATTGTGACAAGAAAAACCACATACATACAATAAGAAACCTAGTTCTTAGCTCGGAAAACGAACATTCTGAAAAATTAATAAAAAATCCATTATTTCTCCTTAGGCGCTTCAAATTGATTCCATGGTTGCTTGTAGTTTTTGCAGGTATCGCAGCTGGAGTCAATTTTAATGCAAATTCACCACCTCAAAATACAAAATGCACTTGTGAGAATGTTAACTAAACGATTTGAATGTTGCATTGAATAGTTCCCATTAGAACACTTACTAAAATATATTAGAGGATATGAAAAGAAATGAATTTTATTAATTTTTAATCGTAATGTTTTATAGTAACGTTTAGTGCTTAAAACCAACACAATCGGTATGTATGTAAGTACCTGTTTAATTTTTCAAAATGTCCGAGTTCGATTCCCGAACTGACTACGAGTTTTTTATTGTATAAATGCAGCGTTCCTAACAACAGTTCTTCGTATCTCTTGTAATTTACAAAAGTTTTGTTCTAGTTTAGTTTCTAGAAGCAAAAAAGACGAACCGTTACAAAATAAAGATGAAGTGCTACTGTGGCTCAAGATATGACATTCAACTTTACACATGCTATAATGTTAATGTAGCCTAATAAAGCATATTTCCGTGAAACGCTTGACGGATCTTCAGATAGTCATCCACCCATATTACTCGTATACTGAAAAATTTTAAGAGAATTAGTAGTATTGTAGTATTTCTCTATTTGAACTTATACAGTTTTGTCAATTGATTCTAACAAACGATATTATTGCATTTAAAATCATTTTTTTTTTATTTTTACAGTTTCCAGTTGACTGTGAAGCTCTTTGTACTAATAAGTAGTACTTTGTTAATTCTAACAATCTTGTCAATTCTAACAATGTTGAGTTCCGGTAGAAAGGTACCTGTGGTGATATTAATAATTGACTATTTGAACGAACTCCATGGATTGTGGTTATTCATTATTCTAGTTTTCAAACCAAAAAAGATTTACAATTACATCAGACGGAAACTTGGTACGGAAGAGATTTTTTTAATTATTGATTTAATCATAATGTGTTAGGCTTTCCCGTCGAATGGAATCAACTACAACAACACTCGGTAATTTTTAGGGTTCCGTACACAAAGAAGACCCTATTGACTTCGCTGTCTGTCTGTCACCGGGCTGTATATGATGAACCGTGACAGACAGTTGAAATTTTCACAAATTATGTATTTGAAAACAAATACAACGCATACAACAAACGTGATTTTTAAATTTGACGGATTTTTTTTTATTTTAAACTTATTATTTTAACTATCTTTGGAAAAATGCATTATGAATATTGATAATCGTCGTAATTCTTTGCAGAAAATAATTAAATATTATTTTTAATGCTCTCTTTTATGGAATCACTTCTTATTTCCCTATTTGTCTCATTGACTAGCCCAATAATTTCGTCTTCTTTTTGCCTTTACATGAATTCTTTTTTTTTTTAATTTATTTATTAAGGCGATTTGGAAAATTATTGAGGCGATACAGAAAAGTTGATAACGTAAATTAACCAAATTGAAAACATAGAAATCAATTCAGACTTAATTCGTTAATTGAAATAATTCAACGTGAAATAATATTACAGGACTGAAGAAATCAAACGAAATAAGTAATGATACGTTATCATCGCAGGCAGTCTCTACAAACATTTCAATGACGAGTGTAGTAACATCGATATCGAATTCTACAATTCCAGCAACTTCACCGAATACAGAAATGAAAGAAGAACGATAATCAATATTCTTTGATATTTAGAAAGGTATGTCTAGTCGTTTTTACATTTAAGGAATGTATATAATGAGATGACTAAACACAGACAAAAATATGACGTAAGAGTGGTCCGACTTTTGGGACCACTTTTTAGACAATGGGGGCTAACGGTTTTTTGGTCACCAGATGGCGGATGGTCCTGTCAAAATTTTGGTACGAGAGTAAACTTCAATCACACATAAACAAACCAATTCATTTTGTAAAAATATCGAGCATGCCCAATAAACACTAACCTCTGAATTAGCTGTTCTTTCATCCCGCCTTATTTAGTGCCTCTTTTTCTTAGCTTCGTTTAAAAAGCACTGATATTCATTTACCCGTTATTTAGTATTGCTTTAATGACTTTCGGGTTCCCCAAAATAAGCACAAAATAGTTTATTTGAAAAGAGCACGCGTAGCTCAATGACAAAGTATGATATTTAGTATCTTAAAGAATGTATTCAGGAATCCTTAATAAACCAAATTCGTAGATCGGTACATTCATTCCAACTATTGGTCCTAGAGGTCGAAATGCGATCAATAAGATGCCACTTACGAAATATATGTAAAATAACTCTTAAAATCTGCAAGCTTCATTCGAACGGTTTTTTCGGATATTTCACAATCAACAAAATATTTTTCCAAGCACATCAAAAACCACCAAATTTAATCTATGTGCCATAGTTCGCTATATTAGTATATCTCTTTATCAGTCTTCCGGAACCTACAGTTGGGTATAGACCTTTTAACCTCACGTCATGTTTTCCTATGCTGGGCTTTGTGCATCCAGGTCTTTCCGCACAGAGTAGTAATATAGTCAGCCCATGTTTTTGGTTATCGACCGACATTTCTCTTTTCTGTCCATGGTCTCCACTCCAACAGTCTCTGATTCCATCTTCCATCCGTCCTTCGGCAAACATGTCCCGCCCAACGCCATTTCCTTCTTGCAATGACACGAGCTATATAGGTCATTTCAGTACATCTACGGTTATCCGTGTTCCTTATTCTTTCATTCAGTATAATAACGAGCATAGCCCACTCCATTTTGGACTGCTCTACTTGGAGCATGCAGTTTAAGTCTTTGGTACGGCTCCAAGTCTCAGAACCGTACACCATGACTAGGAAGATACACATTTCAAATGCATATCGCTTTAGAGTTAGTGGCATCTTCCTACTTTTGAAGATATCCGACGACTTACTAAATGCAGCCCATACAAGTCTAATACTCTGGTCTGTTTCCTGACTTTGCACGGTCCTATCTAGAGTAACTAGCAACTCCAAGTACACGTATTGATCTACTTGCTCAATATTTTGATTTCCTACCTGTTTTTATCTTACTGAGGTGTCTTTGCACATAATTTTGATTTTGAGGTGTTCATTCGCAAACCAACTGATGCGACATAGAGATCGTCTACCATATGTTGTAAGTTGTCTAGGTATTCAGCAAAGATGGTGATAACATCAACAAAACGTAGATTCGTTAGTTTTTCACCATTGATATTTATATTTATATCAGACCAATCGAGAAACTTAAAAATACCCTCTTAACAAGATGTAAATAACTTAGGGGAGATAGTGTCGCCCTGACTCACTTCTTTTTTGACTGGTACTGGTTCAGAAAGTTCGTGTAGCTTTATATATAGTATAGCGGAATATATTAGTATATAAGATATTACAAAATGATTTGGCCATTGGCATCCAGTTTTCACAGAAGTAGCGTTTTAAATTTATATTTTTATATTTTATCCATTAAGTGAATCTCAAAATGGGTAATATCAATATGCTTAGACCTCTTAGTGTGCTCATAGTTATTTTTAATTTTTATAGCACTTTGATTATCCACTTTTATTACTACACTACACTCACTGTTAAAATATTAACACTGACTTTTTATTTAGATTAAGTCACTAACACATATAGCAGCAGGAATATATTCCGCTTCTGAAGACGATAATGCAACACACTGTTGCTTTTTGGATGACCATGATATGAGATTATGGCCATAGTAGATGGTAGACCCGCTGGTGTTTTTTCTGTCCAGTCTGTCACCTGCCCAAACTGCATCCGTATAAGCTAAAATCAAATTTATGTTCTAATTCTAAACAATCTATGCAGACGATCTTCAGATTTACTGTGATGCACCATTTTCTAAAATATCTGAAGCAGTGGTAAATATTAATCTCAACCTTCGACGTATTGAAAAATGGAGTAAAGCTTTTGGTTTGAGCATCAACCCTGTAAAAACTCAATTAATGATAACGGGTAGCTCCAGATTCCTCTCCAGGCTTGATTTCCAGGCACTTCCGAAAGTTGTTTTTGATGGTATAGATATTCCCTTTAGTCAAGTTGTCAAAAACCTGGGGGTACTTATGGACAGTTGTCTGAATTGGGGTCCACAATTGCAATTGATTAGTCGTAAGTTATACGCGTCAGCTGCTTCAATTAAGAGATTACGTAACTTTTTACCCACTGCCACTAAAGCTGCGTTAGCGCAATCTTTGCTGCTTCCTATCCTAGATTATGCCGACGCCTGTTACCTTGATCTTTCGGAGGACCAGCTTAATAAACTTGAGCGACTTCAAAACTTTTGTATCAGGTTCATATTTGGCTTGCGTAAATATGACCATGTTTCTCAGTTTCGCACAGAGCTCAAGTGGCTTCCTATACGTCTTCGCCGGAATGCTCATATACTATCCCTTCTTTATAATATTTTATTTAATCCCATTTACCCAAACTATCTCAAAGATCGGTTCAATTTTCTCCACTCCGCAAATTCATATGCATTGCGATCTACGGAGAACTTGATTCTTGAAATTCCATCTCATTGCACTTCCTTTTTTGATTCCTCGTTTACCGTCCAAGCTGCTCGTCTCTGGAATTCTCTCCCAGTTTCAATCAGGAGAGCTCAATCCCTATCAACATTTAAAGTTTACGTCAAAGAATTCTACCTTTCGCAATAATTACTTTGATGCTGCTGCACTGTTACTTATTCCAGATATGGTAATATGTGTATATATGTATTTATATATGTTGTTTATATAGTTGTATGCGATTATTATTATATAATATCATATTTATATAAATATTTAATGTAGGTATGTAATTTGTGTGTTTTTATATTAATTGTTGCATTTAATTGTATATTGATGTTCACATGTACACCCCCGTCTCCGTTATAACGACTATCTCTTTCTCCGTCCAAAGGTTGCCTGGAAGAAATCGCTTTAAGCGATAAGGCCGCCAATTGTTTGCATTTTTAATTAAGTTTAATTTATGTTTGTTTCTGTAAATAGTGTAATGTCAACAATAAAGAGTTATCTATCTATCTATCTATCTATCTATCTTTTTTCACTTTTAAACTATCGCTCTGCATTGTCAAATACTTATAATACCGGGTATTAAACGTTGGCGCAGGTCAATGTAAAATCGCGTCTAATACCCGGTATTATAAGTATTAATTGATCTTTTGTTTTTTGTTCCTTGCAGGTATCGTAAGATACTCTTTGCAGCTGTTCATATCTAATCTATTATCCAATCATGATTTCGACTGAGATAGCTGGTTGCAAATGTAATATCTGGACGAGTCATCATTGACAAATAGTTTAGGCTTCCAATCAATTATATGTAAGGTCATTTTAAATTTAGTTCAGCTTTCTCATTAGCTTGAAACATGTTTTCCATAGATGTTTTGACTTGTTTAGACCTATCCATATTATATTCATGCAAAAGTGTGTTAATAAATCTTTCTTGTGATAAGTCTACTGTAGTTTTATTTCTTTCAATGTCAATTTCTATAAGAACTTGTTATATTTTCCTAATCTTTTGCTTTATACGCTTTTTGAAAGCTTTTAACTGTGATTTTTTATAATTTCTAAATTTCCTGTAATTAGTATTGACAAATTGAATCAACCATACATTTTCTCCTTTATATAGACACACACCATATGCTCATCTTTTCATTTTTAGATTTTGTTCACAAAAATATTCATGATATTATTCCATACTTTAGGTTATTATTTGAATCCATAAAGTGCTTTATTCAATTTTGGAACATTAATTTTGTTCTTTGTCATTATTCCTTGTGGTGGTAATATATATTTTTTAATTATATAAATTTTATTTTGTAATTTTCCATTTAAACATGCAGACGGTATGTCTTACTGTCTTGATTACTATTCATGAGTCACTGTTCGTGAAAGCAATAAACGTTTTGTTGTCATCTTAGCTACTGGTGAGTATAATTCTTGACTTGCCATTTTTTGTTGAAATTCTCTAGCAACGAAACATGCTTTCTTTGTACCTGGTTTTGACCTAAATACCCACTTAGTATCTACAAATTTTTCTTTTCCTGGTAATTTACATTCAGTCCATGCTTCCAAGTCTTGTAACTGTTTTATTTCTTTATCTATAGCATTTTTCCACTCTTTATTTTTCATAGTTGGTAGAGTCTTCAGCACTCATTGCATAAGTCATGCTCATATCATAATCCTTATACATTTTTGTATTTGTATACTTATTTGTATCTTAATCTGTCTTTCTCATCTTTTTCTATATTCTTCATTTAAGTTTTCTTCTTCGGTAGTTTTTCGTTCATCTCTAGAGATTTTGTTTTCCTGTGTGTCTATTTTTGCATTTTCTATTTCTACCATTATTTGTTTATCAAATTTTTCTTATTCTTATTCAGTCTTATATCTAATATTTTTCTCATCAAATCGTATATCTCTTGTCACCGGTACTTCATCAATTTTCAGGTTCCATACTCTAAATCTGTTTAGCACTGAAGCCCATTCTTTTGCACCAAAATTTCTTAATTTATGTAGTGGCATTTTTTTCCAAATATTTTACTTGGTATATTATAATTAATTGCTTTAGATGAACATCTGATTATCAGATATGTAGAACATAGCACCGCTTTCGCCCAAAAATATATAGGAAGATTTTTCTAGTTAAGTATAATAATAATATTTAATCATAAATTACGTTTG